ACTCCTGTAAGCTCACATACCCGTACACTCACACTCCTGTAAGCTCACATACCCGTACACTCACACTCCTGTAAGCTCACATACCCGTACACTCACACTCCTGTAAGCTCACATACCCGTACACTCACACTCCTGTAAGCTCACATACCCGTACACTCACACTCCTGTAAGCTCACATACCCGTACACTCACACTCCTGTAAGCTCACATACCCGTACACTCACACTCCTGTAAGCTCACATACCCGTACACTCACACTCCTGTAAGCTCACATACCCGTACACTCACACTCCTGTAAGCTCACATACCCGTACACTCACACTCCTGTAAGCTCACATACCCGTACACTCACACTCCTGTAAGCTCACATACCCGTACACTCACACTCCTGTAAGCTCACATACCCGTACACTCACACTCCTGTAAGCTCACATACCCGTACACTCACACTCCTGTAAGCTCACATACCCGTACACTCACACTCCTGTAAGCTCACATACCCGTACACTCACACTCCTGTAAGCTCACATACCCGTACACTCACACTCCTGTAAGCTCACATACCCGTACACTCACACTCCTGTAAGCTCACATACCCGTACACTCACACTCCTGTAAGCTCACATACCCGTACACTCACACTCCTGTAAGCTCACATACCCGTACACTCACACTCCTGTAAGCTCACATACCCGTACACTCACACTCCTGTAAGCTCACATACCCGTACACTCACACTCCTGTAAGCTCACATACCCGTACACTCACACTCCTGTAAGCTCACATACCCGTACACTCACACTCCTGTAAGCTCACATACCCGTACACTCACACTCCTGTAAGCTCACATACCCGTACACTCACACTCCTGTAAGCTCACATACCCGTACACTCACACTCCTGTAAGCTCACATACCCGTACACTCACACTCCTGTAAGCTCACATACCCGTACACTCACACTCCTGTAAGCTCACATACCCGTACACTCACACTCCTGTAAGCTCACATACCCGTACACTCACACTCCTGTAAGCTCACATACCCGTACACTCACACTCCTGTAAGCTCACATACCCGTACACTCACACTCCTGTAAGCTCACATACCCGTACACTCACACTCCTGTAAGCTCACATACCCGTACACTCACACTCCTGTAAGCTCACATACCCGTACACTCACACTCCTGTAAGCTCACATACCCGTACACTCACACTCCTGTAAGCTCACATACCCGTACACTCACACTCCTGTAAGCTCACATACCCGTACACTCACACTCCTGTAAGCTCACATACCCGTACACTCACACTCCTGTAAGCTCACATACCCGTACACTCACACTCCTGTAAGCTCACATACCCGTACACTCACACTCCTGTAAGCTCACATACCCGTACACTCACACTCCTGTAAGCTCACATACCCGTACACTCACACTCCTGTAAGCTCACATACCCGTACACTCACACTCCTGTAAGCTCACATACCCGTACACTCACACTCCTGTAAGCTCACATACCCGTACACTCACACTCCTGTAAGCTCACATACCCGTACACTCACACTCCTGTAAGCTCACATACCCGTACACTCACACTCCTGTAAGCTCACATACCCGTACACTCACACTCCTGTAAGCTCACATACCCGTACACTCACACTCCTGTAAGCTCACATACCCGTACACTCACACTCCTGTAAGCTCACATACCCGTACACTCACACTCCTGTAAGCTCACATACCCGTACACTCACACTCCTGTAAGCTCACATACCCGTACACTCACACTCCTGTAAGCTCACATACCCGTACACTCACACTCCTGTAAGCTCACATACCCGTACACTCACACTCCTGTAAGCTCACATACCCGTACACTCACACTCCTGTAAGCTCACATACCCGTACACTCACACTCCTGTAAGCTCACATACCCGTACACTCACACTCCTGTAAGCTCACATACCCGTACACTCACACTCCTGTAAGCTCACATACCCGTACACTCACACTCCTGTAAGCTCACATACCCGTACACTCACACTCCTGTAAGCTCACATACCCGTACACTCACACTCCTGTAAGCTCACATACCCGTACACTCACACTCCTGTAAGCTCACATACCCGTACACTCACACTCCTGTAAGCTCACATACCCGTACACTCACACTCCTGTAAGCTCACATACCCGTACACTCACACTCCTGTAAGCTCACATACCCGTACACTCACACTCCTGTAAGCTCACATACCCGTACACTCACACTCCTGTAAGCTCACATACCCGTACACTCACACTCCTGTAAGCTCACATACCCGTACACTCACACTCCTGTAAGCTCACATACCCGTACACTCACACTCCTGTAAGCTCACATACCCGTACACTCACACTCCTGTAAGCTCACATACCCGTACACTCACACTCCTGTAAGCTCACATACCCGTACACTCACACTCCTGTAAGCTCACATACCCGTACACTCACACTCCTGTAAGCTCACATACCCGTACACTCACACTCCTGTAAGCTCACATACCCGTACACTCACACTCCTGTAAGCTCACATACCCGTACACTCACACTCCTGTAAGCTCACATACCCGTACACTCACACTCCTGTAAGCTCACATACCCGTACACTCACACTCCTGTAAGCTCACATACCCGTACACTCACACTCCTGTAAGCTCACATACCCGTACACTCACACTCCTGTAAGCTCACATACCCGTACACTCACACTCCTGTAAGCTCACATACCCGTACACTCACACTCCTGTAAGCTCACATACCCGTACACTCACACTCCTGTAAGCTCACATACCCGTACACTCACACTCCTGTAAGCTCACATACCCGTACACTCACACTCCTGTAAGCTCACATACCCGTACACTCACACTCCTGTAAGCTCACATACCCGTACACTCACACTCCTGTAAGCTCACATACCCGTACACTCACACTCCTGTAAGCTCACATACCCGTACACTCACACTCCTGTAAGCTCACATACCCGTACACTCACACTCCTGTAAGCTCACATACCCGTACACTCACACTCCTGTAAGCTCACATACCCGTACACTCACACTCCTGTAAGCTCACATACCCGTACACTCACACTCCTGTAAGCTCACATACCCGTACACTCACACTCCTGTAAGCTCACATACCCGTACACTCACACTCCTGTAAGCTCACATACCCGTACACTCACACTCCTGTAAGCTCACATACCCGTACACTCACACTCCTGTAAGCTCACATACCCGTACACTCACACTCCTGTAAGCTCACATACCCGTACACTCACACTCCTGTAAGCTCACATACCCGTACACTCACACTCCTGTAAGCTCACATACCCGTACACTCACACTCCTGTAAGCTCACATACCCGTACACTCACACTCCTGTAAGCTCACATACCCGTACACTCACACTCCTGTAAGCTCACATACCCGTACACTCACACTCCTGTAAGCTCACATACCCGTACACTCACACTCCTGTAAGCTCACATACCCGTACACTCACACTCCTGTAAGCTCACATACCCGTACACTCACACTCCTGTAAGCTCACATACCCGTACACTCACACTCCTGTAAGCTCACATACCCGTACACTCACACTCCTGTAAGCTCACATACCCGTACACTCACACTCCTGTAAGCTCACATACCCGTACACTCACACTCCTGTAAGCTCACATACCCGTACACTCACACTCCTGTAAGCTCACATACCCGTACACTCACACTCCTGTAAGCTCACATACCCGTACACTCACACTCCTGTAAGCTCACATACCCGTACACTCACACTCCTGTAAGCTCACATACCCGTACACTCACACTCCTGTAAGCTCACATACCCGTACACTCACACTCCTGTAAGCTCACATACCCGTACACTCACACTCCTGTAAGCTCACATACCCGTACACTCACACTCCTGTAAGCTCACATACCCGTACACTCACACTCCTGTAAGCTCACATACCCGTACACTCACACTCCTGTAAGCTCACATACCCGTACACTCACACTCCTGTAAGCTCACATACCCGTACACTCACACTCCTGTAAGCTCACATACCCGTACACTCACACTCCTGTAAGCTCACATACCCGTACACTCACACTCCTGTAAGCTCACATACCCGTACACTCACACTCCTGTAAGCTCACATACCCGTACACTCACACTCCTGTAAGCTCACATACCCGTACACTCACACTCCTGTAAGCTCACATACCCGTACACTCACACTCCTGTAAGCTCACATACCCGTACACTCACACTCCTGTAAGCTCACATACCCGTACACTCACACTCCTGTAAGCTCACATACCCGTACACTCACACTCCTGTAAGCTCACATACCCGTACACTCACACTCCTGTAAGCTCACTCCTCTCCCACCTCCCCCCACCTCTCATGTGAACCCACCCGAGCCTGCATGCAGAGTTGCCCATACCGATCCCTCATTCTTTCCACCCTCACCTCCTCCTCTCACCCTCACCTCCTCCTCTCACCCTCACCTCCTCCTCTCACCCTCACCTCCTCCTCTCACCCTCACCTCCTCCTCTCACCCTCACCTCCTCCTCTCACCCTCACCTCTCCCTCCTCTCTCACTCACCCTCCTCTCACCCTCACCTCCTCCTCCTCTCACCCTCACCTCCTCCTCTCACCCTCACCTCCTCCTCTCACCCTCACCTCCTCCTCTCACCCTCACCTCCTCCTCTCACCCTCACCTCCTCCTCTCACCCTCACCTCCTCCTCTCACCCTCACCTCCTCCTCTCACCCTCACCTCCTCAACCTCGCCTCTGCCTCTCTCTCTCGTCTCCTCTCTTCGCCCCTCTCCTTCTCTCTCCCCCTTCCCCCAGCTCCCTATCCGACACGTGTCTGCCCTACCACCAGTCTCTTACTTCTCTCCACCTCTTCCCCCCCCACCTTCCCATCCCTCCCTCCTGTGCAGCTCCCTGTCAGACACGCGTCTCTACGGCGAGGTGCCCAAGGCACTCAACGGGCTGGCGAAGCTCAAAGAGCTGTGAGGCTGGGGGAGGGGAGGGGGGCGGGGTAGGCCAGGAGGAGGCCATTGGGAAAGGTAGGGGCAGGGGGAAGCAGGGAGGGGGAGGGAATGTGGAGGGCGAAGGAGGGGTGGGTAGGTTTAGGTGTTTGCACCCTTGCTCGACTCTTGTCGCACTCTCGCCACCCTCTGTCCTTATCACAATCACCATAGTACTCCCATGGCTCGCCCGACCCATGAGTGCAGGTACGTGCAGGATGGATGGTCCTACGGCCCTCTTCCCGACCTGAGAACCCTCTCTGTCTCACTCATCTCTCTGCATCTCTCTGCATCTCTCCATATCTCTCTGTCTTGCTGCATACCTGGACCACTGCAGGTACCTGCAGAATGGATGGTTCTACGGCCCTCTTCCCGACCTGAGCGGTCTCAAGCAGCTCACCGAAATGTACGCCCCCACTCTCGCCCTTTTGATTCACCATGCCTCCCAGATCCCAAGATTCCTACGCCCCCACTCTCGCCCTTTTGATTCACCATGCCTGCCTGTTTGCCCTGCCTGCCTGCCTACCGGCTTCCTCACCCACCTCCCTGACCGCCTGTCTGCCCGATCCTTTTCACTCCCTCTTATGCCTCACATCTCATTCGTAGACTGTGATTAGATGCGCACAGTCCTTCCTGCCCTTCTCGTCTGAAGGCCCTCTGCATCCCACCATTCTGCATCCCACCATTCTGCATCCCACCACACTGCATCCCACCATTCTGCATCCCACCACACTGCATCCCACCATTCTGCATCCCACCATTCTGCATCCCACCACACTGCATCCCACCATTCTGCATCCCACCACACTGCATCCCACCATTCTGCATCCCACCACACTGCATCCCACCATTCTGCATCCCACCTCTCTGCATCCCAAATCTCATCACCTCTCCGTTTCCACACTCCCCACTCCCCAATGCCCTCGCCTCGCTCCCTCCCCAACTCACAGTGACCTGTCCAGCAACTACCTCTCAGGCCCCCTCCCGGCTTTCCTGCAGCGGGTCAAGAAAGTCAACGCGGCAGACAACTATTTCTCCGGCTCAGCCGCCTCCCTGCCCTGCTCTGACTCTTTCTCCGTCACCGGCAACTGCCTCTCCTCCGTGCCTGCCAAGTGCGGGGGCACGGCCGGCCAGAAGACCACGGAGGAGTGCAACAAGTTCTGTGGAACGGCCACGGCCACGGGGGCATGCAGCGGCAAGGGAGTGTGTGTGTTGGATGTGGACAAGTTGCTCAACACACAGGCGTATGTGCCCATGTGCAAGTGCCAGTCAGGGTACTGGGCTTCTCACCAGAAGCTGAGATGCTCCAAGAACAACGCTTGAATGCCCTGGATCATGGGTTCATTGCGGTGTTCCACCCCGGAGGGAGGAAATACCGTTACTGTCCTTGCAGTCGCATGCCATTTCCTGCTTAGTGGTAGTCAGGAGGACGGAATAAAGACATGGCGTGCCATAAGACCGTTGCTCTGCGTCCAGTGAATAAGCCATGTTGGCACCCAAGTTCCTGCTCCATAACTGAGAACTTCCCATTTATTATCGAAATACCGGTCTCTCGTTTCAAGAATCTTGCACTTTAGGCACCCAACCTCCACAAGAAAAGCAGTGACATTATAATTCTAAGCGCTTGCCTAAAAAGTGGGCTTCACATGAATCCTATCCCGCCCTTTGGATCAAAGTATTGAAACGTTCTAGTCGTGTGGCTGTCATGTACGAGAAAATCAAACAGCAACAGTGATTCCAGCAGACGTCCGCACAACCTAATCCAGTCAGCGGTGTGTAACACGAAGATCGCAAATCCTGCCAACATCTACTGGGCTCCCTTGGTGCCGTACATGATGCATGCACCCACCATCGCGCACGCGAAGAAGATCGCAAACCCTGCCAGCATCCACTGCCACCACTCGAGCGACGCGTGGCAGGAAAAGCCGCACTCGCAGTTTTGGAGAATTCCTGGAAAAATGGGAGGGGGGTTGAGAGGAAAAAGCGCAGAGGAGAGGGGGGTTGTCGGGCTGAGTTGAGAGCTATGAGTGTTGACCGCTGATGGAGAATGTGTGAAGGTTTCTTGCGTGGTAAGAGGTGGTAGTGCAGGAGCCGGTTCGCGTCAATCTCTAAAACATAATCGTGTGTGCTGCTTTCTAACCGCAAGGCGTTGCTTCGGCTGGAGCAAGGCGTTTCTTCTCGAATCACGACGATGGCTGATGAACAGAATGCAGCCGGGAAGGTATCCTGGACGTACCATTGCAAGTGAAGACGGGGTTGAAGAAGGGAACGCAGCCCGAGGGAACTTTTGAGTCGACTCAAAAGTCAACTCGATATCCTGGAAAGACGTACCATCGCCAGTGAAGACGGGGTTGAAGAAGGGAACGCAGCCCGATGGAACCCTGGATATGCAGCCCTGCAAAATGCGGCGCACGAAGGGTGCACCAAAGGAAGGGGAGGGGAGGGGGTGTGGCGAAAAAACAAACTTGATGAGCGCAGGGGGGACGCGGAAGAAATGCGGGGGAACACAATGTGCGGAAGCTTGGCGCAAGAGCAAGGGTAGATGGGCAGGAAGGGGTGAAGGATTGGCGGAGGTCGGCGGTGAGGTGCTTACGAATCGTCTTTTCGACCTCATCCCAGGTACAATTTCGTTCCCCGACTAAAAAAAAAAACGCCAACTAGTCGGCAGCGAGGTGTTCAAGGAGCGCCCTGGGATCATCTAATACACCTCGTCTCATGCTGAGTCTGTTTTTGAGTAGACTCAAAAACAGACTCGTTACACGCGTCGTCTCATGCTGCTGACCGTTGCGTCGCTGAGCTGCTGGCGTCACAGACGACCCGTAGAACTGCCAGGGTACTTGTCACTAAGTGCTTGCATCACCGTAGTAGAGTCGCGAGGGAGCGGGGACTCCCGCTTCTCTCGGAGAAGCCGACGAGCTATGAGGTACTGCTACTATATGGGGAAGGAACGGCTCATTTATACAGAAGATTAACCCGAAAAAATACGTGCGTGCTCTGAAAAGCATTTGTGATGGCGGCGCGGGTCCGGTCTTTTGCCAGAAACGAGAGGCGAAGCATCATGCTTTCACTGAACTCGTCAAATTATGATATTATCGAAAAGGTACTACCAGTAGTAAGTATTAGCTGAAATGGCGGGGAATGGGAGAGAGGCGGCGGCACTTACCACGCATTGGCCTGTGCAGTTGAGATAAATGGTGTTGTTGCGAGACGAAGTGCAGAAGTTATTGCATGTCGAGTTGTAGTTTGACTGCGCCGACGCTAGGTGTAGCAACGTGGCCAGAGCTAGAGCCAGCAGCAGCACGTTGGCCTTCATGGTTACTATAGAAAGAATGCCTAATTTTCTTGGCGTGGTCGGATGGTGGGAACTAACGGACAGACCAGAACGAGAGATCCGCAGAATGTTCACAGGACAGAGAAAGCAAAATGGAGCCGTGTGAGGTACATAGGGAAGGGAATGGTCAATGTATGACAGGTCGATTGCTCTTCTGCTCGCTGTTAGCCAAAAAAAGGCAACCACGCCAACACTTGCAGAGGCCAAGACGCGCGGGGTTCACCGTAGCTCGTGTTTTGGTGTGGAACCTCACCTCACACACGTGACACTTGGCGGGAAAGTGGTCGTTGCAGGTTTTGGCTGTCAGCCAGACCCAATCGGTGCGGAAACGATAGGCTTGGGTGAAACTTCTGGGGCTGTTAGCCAGACCCAATCGGGGCGGAAACGATAGGCTTGGGTGAAACTTCTCGACGTGGATGAGCTGCGGCTTGGATCAAACCGAGCGCAAAGAACCCAATTTTTACGAAGCGCTGTCGGCTTCTGGATACCGAACGTGGGTTGTGCCGCGCCACCAACTACAAAGGAAAAGGAAGTGCCCTATTTGATGAAGGGGCACCTCTAGATTCTGTAGTTTTCCCGTTATTGGTTCGTTCGTTATGAAGTATCAAAGTAGAAGTATTGCGCGGGATAACTAATATCAGAACTCTACTAATACAAACAATGAGTCGGGGGATGAATGCGAATAAAATTGAATGCATATAAATGATATTTTTAGGAACCAGAGCCTATAATTTAGCGAGTTTTGAGTTAAACCCAGTAATACAGTTGTTTTCTGATTTACGGTTAACCTGGATACACATGTAGTAATAACTACCTTTTGAAAACCAGGGGCTATTGATGTACGTTCGCGACTTAAGGGAACCAGGACAACCGCTGCGTAACGCATACAGCCGTTCTGGACTAGTCATGAATCGTCTTCCATCCGTCTGGTTTTTCAATTTCTGGTCCATACCCTGAACCGAAAATACTGCATCCATAGTTGCGCTGCGCGAGGAGCAATTAGGGTTCAAGGCTTCATCGGTCCTTTTTGCGATTATTCGTTTTCTCGTTTTTTCGGTCGGTGCGATAAAGTAGTTAATGAAATAGGTCGTCGTGGGCCGTCGTTGCGCCGGCCTTCCGTTTTCTAAAGTCCTTACTCGCGGCAGGATGAACGCGTTTAACGACGCCATTCTGTTTGAGAAGCTATCGAAGCTGAATGCTTCGCAGCAGAGCATTGAGAGTAAGAACATGCCTCACGGGCCTTTCAACCTCATTGGTCGATCCGCCTGACTGATCCATCCGTCACACAATCAGAAGTCCCGCCTCATCCTGCTAGGCGTAATTCGACCTTTATTTCATAATCACTCTTGTCATCAATTTGGTATTTTCCATCGAGTTAAAGAGTTAGCTGAGTTGGTCCCCGACTTTACCGTTATCGTTGCCGTTACCGTTCATATCTGCTTGTTACATCCGTCTCTCGCTCCCTCTCTTTCTCTCCTTCTCCGTCTCCCCCGCATCCCCGTGTGCTCAGCGCTCTCCCATTGGTGCATTTTCCACCGGAAGCGCGCCGACCAGGTGGTGCAGACATGGCAGAAGCACTTCGCGAGCGCGTCGCAGGATCGCAAGTTACCACTGCTGTACCTCGCGAACGACATTCTGCAGAACAGCCGCAAGAAGGGCCCCGAGTTCATCCAGGAGTTCTGGCAGGTGCTGCCCTCCGCGCTCCAGGACCTCGTGCGCGTCGGCCCCGACAGCACGCGAAAGTCAACCCTCCGCATCGTACGTTTCAGTTCGGGACGGGTGCCGGTTAGGGGGAATGTTTCCGACAGATTGGGATCAGTAGCAGTAGCGGGAATGTTGCCGGCGGTTAGTTTTGGCAGGTGCTGCCCTCCGCGTTCCAGGATCTCGTGCGCGTCAGCTTCGACAGCACGCGCAAGTCAACTCCCCCCCCCCCCACCCACCCTCCCGCCTCGCTGGCTGTCGTCTCTCAGGTTGACATATGGGAGGAGCGCAAGGTGTATGGGCAGCGCGACGATCCGCTCGTTCCCTCCTTCCCCCTCCCCCCCTTTTCTCCCCCACCCAACCCCCGTTCCGCCCTCCCCGTCCCCCCAACCGCCCCGCAGGTGGACATATGGGAGGAGCGCAAGGTGTTTGGGCAGCGCGACGAGCCGCTGAGGAAGCTGCTGCTGGGAGATCTCGCCACCGCGCCGCCCGCCACGTCAGCCGCTCAGGCGGACGAGCATCCAGCCGCGGCAGCGGCTTCCACAGCTAAGGTGAGGCGAGAGTGGGATGATCAGCCGCGTTAGGTGAATAGAATCTGTTTTTTTGAGAATTCTCAAAGAACAGATTGTTTTTGGGAGTTGTGAATAGAAGTTCTTTAAGACACCCTGCGTGCAGCACGGTGTGAGGTAGACAGACGGTGGCGCGGCAGAGGAGTTTGAGGCGTTGCAGAGCAGAGCAGACATCATTCGTGAGGGACACGTCAGCTGCAGAGGAGCTTTGCAGGTGCTTGGGAGATCGTTTCTACGGCGGTGGTTAGGAGAGTGAGCAGTGCGTGTGTGCCAGTCAAGGTGGGAGAGGCGGGACCGAGAGAGTGAAGGATACATGGGGGGGAGAAGGAGAGGGTAAGAGGGAAAAAAGGGAAGAGGGAGGGAGAGGGGAAGGGAGAGAGGGAGGGAGAGGGGGAGGGGGAGAGGGAGGGAGCGAGAGAGAGAGTAGGAGGAAGGAGGAAATGAGGGAGGGAGAGAGGAAGGAAGGGAGAGAGGGAGGGAGAGGGAGGGAGGGAATGAGGGAGGGAGATGGAGGGAGTGAGGGGGCACACATTGTTGGTGTGCAGTACAGAGAAGGACAGTGATATTGACGAGCAAACATCCTCTCCTCCCGACCAATCACTCTTCTCCCCACCACTCAATCCCCCCATGCCCACTCTCCCCCCAACCCAAGCAGGTGCGCGGGCCACTGGACTGGAGCTCATATCATCGGTGTACGGGTCAGTGCAGGAGGACGCGAGCAAGGATGAGGGTGTGGCGGTGCGGCGGCAGCAACATGCACATACACGCTGGACTTCCCCCCTTTCCCCCTTCACCCTTTCCCCATCACAGGTGCGCGGTCCGCTGGAGCGCGTATCATCGGTGTACGGGGCAGTGCAGGACGCGAGCAAGGACGAGGGCGTGGCGGTGCAAAGGTTGCATGCATATACACCCGCCTGCTGGTTTCTGAGAATTCTCATAACCCCCCTTTCCGCTAACACCTCCCCTTTCTCAAAAACATGCATATACACCAGCTTGCTCTCTCACTTCCCCACCCATCTTCCCAACCCTCCTTTCCGCTAACCCCTCCCCCCAAGCAGGTGCGCGGGCCGCTGGAGCGCATATCATCGGTGTACGGGGCAGTGCAGGATGCGAGCAAGGATGAGGACACGGCAGTGCGGCGGTGCAGTGCCATCATCAACGAGCTGCAGACCATTGAGAAGGAACTCAACGCGCTCAAGTCACCTGCCAATGCATCAGGTGAGTGAGTGAGTGAGTGAGTGAGTGCAGTGCGGTGCAGTTCGGTGCTGGGGGCTGTGCTCTCTGTGCTGTGCGGTGCAGTGCCATCATCAACGAGCTGCAGACCATTGAGAAGGAACTCAACGCGCTCAAGTCGCCTGCCAATGCATCGGGTGAGTGAGTGCCTGTGTGCCTATGTGATGTATGGTAGGCGCTGTTCGAACACGCATGTGAGAGGGAGTGGGTGGGTTGAGTTCAAGGCTGCGGTGGGGCAGCGCCATCATCAACGAGCTGCAGAATGTGAATGGGAATGGGAATGGGCAGTGGTGCTGGACAGGCTGGGCACCAAGAGGCACGTGCTGCAGCAGTGCTGCAAGTTAAAGCCATCTACTTCTCGAATTGCTTCCCTCTTCTTTCCTCCCCTCCTCTTCTCCCACCAGAGGCGGACGAGCAGGCGGTGGTGTCATGTTAGACAGGCTGGACAAGAAGAGGCATGTACTTTAGCAGTGCTGCGAGCGACCAGATGGCTGCATGTGAAGAGCAGAGCCACACTCTGTACGTCGCTGCCTTTCTCCTCTCAGTGTTTCTCCACTTCACCCACCCCGCGCCTGTTCCCTCTACCAGAGGCGGACGAACGTGCAGTGGTGCTCGACAGGCTGGACACGAAGCGGCACGTGCTGCAGCAGTGCTGCGACCAGATGGCGGCGTGTGAGAGGAAGCGAGCGCTGCTGGTGAAGCTGCTCACAGACGCGCTCAGGACGCAGGAGAGCAAGCTGGAGCGCCTGAGGTCGCAGGTGGAGGTGAGATACCATGACCAACCCCCCTCTTCCTCTTCCTCTTCCTCTTCCTCTTCCTCTTCCTCTTCCTTCCTGTCCATCATTCCCCTCCTCTCCTTCCCATGCCCATGGTCCTTCCCTGCATCCCCAAAGTGGAGGGAGAGCACCTGAGAGAGATAGAAAGACAGAGCAATGAGTGCCCTGCTGCTTACGGCGTGTGAGAGGAAGCGAGCGCTGCTGGTGAAGCTGCTCACAGACGCGCTCAGGACGCAGGAGAGCAAGCTAGAGCGCCTGAGGTCGCAGGTGGAGGTGAGAAGCGTGGTGCCTTTTTTCCCTTCCCCCCGTTACCCCCCTCAGCCGTGTGGGAGGTTCCTTCCTTGTACTGACGCAGCAGCTGTGAGGCTGTGACTTATGGAGGCACAGCAGCAGCAAGCAGCAGAAGCAGCAGTTTAGACACGTACCAAAGCATGAAAACGGTTGTCCCCTTGGCTGCCCCCTGACCTACTCATTGCGTCACTGTAATTGTCCCATCGTTGCGCCCCTCCCATTTGTGAAGGAGGAAGACACTGCGCGCCTTGCTCTCTTGTCCCCATGTTCAGTGCCTTGATGGAGGCCTTGCAGCCTTGCACTTTAATTTGTCCTCTTGTCGCAGTCAGATCAAGAGAGCAAGGAAGGAGTTACTACTACCCCCCAATTCGTCAGTGCCTCCACGTGTGCATCCTGCACCCCACTCATCCCGCCATTCTCATCACAGATCGCGCGCACACAGTCAGAGATAGCAGTCAACCTGCGCAAGTGAGCCACAGAGGAAGACGCTGCTGCTTGTGCTACTCTGCGGCGCCCCTCCTCACTGCTCCCTGTTTCCTGCTCATCCCCCCCCCCCCCCCCCACTCCTGACAGATCGCGCGCACGCAGTCAGAGATAGCAGCCAATCTGCGCAAGCGAGCCACGGAGGAGGACGCTGCTCGCGCCTCGGCTGGCCTCACTGCTGCAGCCAACCCCTCCACTGCTGCGCCTGCAGCTGCGACTGCTGCACCTGCCACCACTGCTGCTGCACCATCCGCCCCAGCATTCTTCCCAGCCCCTGCAACAGCAGCGGCCGCTGCCGCTACAGCTGCACCTGTTACTGCTGCGGCTGCTGCACCAGCGTTTGTTCTCCCCGGCTTCCAACCTCCCCCAGGCACGCCTCCTGAGATGGTTGCTGCTGCCGCTGCTGCAGCTGCCGCCGCTGCTGCTGCAGTGAACAGTTCACAAGCCTCTACCCCTGCTGCTGCCGCCGCTGCCGCTGCTGCCGCCGCTGCTGCTGCTGCTGCTGCCGGCAATCCAGGTTTGCCGGCTGGTCTTGCTGCGGCGACAGGCGCGGGTGCCGGAGCTGGTGGGGTCACCGATGCTGAGCGGGAGGCACGGCGGAAGCGGGCGGCTGAGTTGACAAGCCAGTTGGTTGCTTCGGCATCATCTGCCGCGATTTTGAAGTCGGTTCTTTCGTCATTTGCGGCTGGCAAGTCAGTAGCAGCAGGAGCCGCCACCGCTGCTGCTCCGGCTGACGCTGCTGGTGCAGGTGGTGGGGGCGATGGTGGAGGTGGCGGTGGTGGGGGGTTACAGATCTCAGGAGCACCAGTTTCTGGGGCAGATGCAGCAAACGACCCTTCTCAGCCACCAGAGAAACGTCTGCGACCCACCGATACAAGCACACAGCCTCTGTCACACTCGTTTGGAGCCCCTCCCGCCACTGCCGCTGCCTTTGCTTCCCCGAGCCATGCAATGTTCCCCCCACCCCCACCCCCACTGAACATGGATGGCATGCCTTTCCCCCCTTGCCCCCTCCCCCCCCTCTCCCTACTCAATCCCCTCCTCCCCAACCGACCTCTGCTGCTATGCCACAGTATTCTCTCGCTCCCCCTCCCCCGCCATACACGGCTTATCCTCCCAATGCTGCCACCGGTGCTCCTCCCCCTTCTTATAATGTTCTTGGGCAGGGGAATGGGGGTTATCAGGGGCAAGGGCAGATGGGGCCAGGGGACGGGGGTGTGGGAGGGAATGTTGGGGTGCAAGGGGGTGATTTTTCGGGGCAAAATGGGGGAGTGTACAATGCGGGAGGCATGTCGTCCCAACAGTACATGTACGGTCAGGCACCGATGCAGTAGGTATGGAGATTTTGTTATATTTGTGCTAGGTTATTTTTCTTCCCCGTTCTGGTTGTGCTCCCATGCATTTATTCTGCGGGCCCTGGCGGTGTTCTGTCTCGGTTTTCCTGCTGCTCCTGAATTCAGCCGAAGGACTCTGTAGCGCGTATACAAAATCGGTTCTGTAAGCGACTGGAACCTCGGTTGGGTCTGGTTCGGCGCGGCAAATTTGGAAGGCACACACCACCAACCCCCCCCCATTTGGCAAGCCCAAAAGCCCGATTGGATTCCCAGGCAATGCGTCGTTGTACCGCGTCGCCTAGTCTTCTCCAGTCACCAATCAACCAATTCCCGCAGGATTCTCTGTTGTCTTCCGCAATTCCCGCTCGTTTCGTTCCCGATTCCCCTCATGCTTTGCTCCGCCGCCGCTGTCGCTGACCTCGCCATTTGCAGACGATCGTTGTGTGACGGTAGAAGGTCGTGCGACAGTAGAAGGTCGTGCGACAGTAGCCGTCATCCGTGCGACAGTAGCCGTCATCCGTGCGACAGAGGTTCAGGCGTCGTCGCGCGCTGTTTCATCCGCCCCCCTCCGTCGTCGGCGCGACCACCCGCGCTCGCTGCGCCGTTTCCTTCCGAACCACCTTGCCCCGCGCCTCGACTTCCCCACAGCCGCGCCCGCGCGTGCCGCGCATTGCGCTTCCCCCGCGCTGCCATGCCAGCAACCCGCGCGGGAGCTTCTGCTGGGAACGGCGGGGAGAGCGCAAGCGCGGCGAGACCGCAGATTGACGGTTCCAGTGGTGTGGCGGCGGCCGCAGGCAGTGGTGACGGTGGCGGCGGCGGCGGCATTGGTGGCGGCTCGAGCGAGTGGCTGGGATCTGTTTGGAGCGCGCAGGAGATCGCTGACGTGGCGGGCGGCGTCGTCATCAGAGACGGCCCGTCCGGGCGCGTCTGCACTGACACGCGCCAGCTGGCGCCCGGCGATTGGTTCCTGGCTCTGCGAGGGCCGCGATTCGACGGCGCGGATTTCCTGGAAGAGGCGGCGCGGAGGGGGTGCGGGGGGGCGGTTGTTATGGCGGACGGACGGGGGGAAAGGGGGGAAGCGAAGAATGGGGAAAATGCGCTGGAGGGGGGCGGCAGAACGGAGAGCGGGAATGGGGAAGAGGGGGGAAGCGCGGAAGAGGGGGGATGCGCGGAAGAGGGGGGATCCGCGGAAGAAGGGGGATCCGCGGAAGAGGGGGGATCCGCGGAAGAGGGGGGATCCGCGGAAGTGGGTTCAAGAGAAGTAAAGGGAGCAACGGAACCAAACGTGCCTCCGAACCTGCTGCCAGAGGGGTGGCAGGGAGGGTTTGTGGTGGTGCCAGACACGCTCGGCGCTCTGCAAGGCTTGGCGAGGGAGGCTCGGCGGAGGTTCGGCGGCGTGGTGGTGGGGGTGACGGGCAGCGTGGGGAAGACCACGGCGCGGGCTTTAACTGCCCTCGCGCTCTCGCCCCTGGGGGCCGTGCACCAGGTGCGCTGGGGGACGTATGGTGGAGGGAGGTGCTGTAGGTGAACGGGGAGTGCCTGGGTGGGTGAGAAGCGGGCTTTAACTGCCCTCGCGCTCTCGCCCCTGGGGGCTGTGCACCAGGTGCGTGCAGCATGGGGCAATGGAGTGGATGCGGTGTAATGGGGTGTAATGGGGTGGAATGGGGTGGAATGGGGTGGAATGGGGTGGAATGGGGTGGGGACACCAGGTGGCTTGGTGCTCTCGCCTATGGGAGCCGTGCACCCGGTGCGTTGGCAGGGGATGGAGTGTGCTGGCAATTCAGGTTCTTCCCATGTCTTCACATGTCGTCCCCCATTTCTTGCATGTCCTCTTGCCCTCACGCCCCCCTGTGCGCAGACCCAGGGAAATCTAAACAACCACATCGGAGTGCCGCTGACTCTCCTAGGTATGTGCAAGTGATAAGTTGTAGTTCAATCGCATTTGAGGAATTTCAGAAGAGCCTCAGATACATCGGCACAGCACATCAGCAACCGTATAGTGGTGCCACTGGCCCTCTTAGGAGTCGCATCACATGGGCACATGAGCAACCCAGACATGCAAGCAACAGCCGAGTTTTGAGGCGCCTCAAAACTAGACACCCTCATACCGCACGCTTCTCCCTCTTCCTCATACCGCAACGCTTCTCCCTCTTCCTCTCCCCTTCTCCCTCTTCCTCTCCCCTTCTCCCTCTTCCTCTCCCCTTCTCCCTCTTCCTCTCCCCTTCTCCCTCTTCCTCTCCCCTTCTCCCTCTTCCTCTCCCCTTCTCCCTCTTCCTCTCCCCTTCTCCCTCTTCCTCTCCCCTTCTCCCTCTTCCGCTCCCCTTCTCCCTCTTCCGCTCCCCTTCTCCCTCTTCCGCTCCCCTTCTCCCTCTTCCGCTCCCCTTCTCCCTCTTCCGCTCCCCTTCTCCCATCGACCCTCTCCTCCATTCCCCTTCATAACCCCCCCACCCCCCTTCCCCCCCTCATACTAGCTCTCCCCCAGTCCGCAACAGCATGTGTGGTGGAAAAGGCGAGATCGCCCCCTACCCCCCCTCCCCTCATGGTGGAAATGGGAATGAGTGCAGAAGGCGACATCGCCCTCACCTCTGCAATCGCTGCTCCCGCCATTTGCGTGCTTCTCAACGTCGGCCCTGCTCACATTGGCGATCAGCACACGGGCACTCCTAAGTCCTCTTGACACATAAGCAAGTGCTGTTGCACTCACACCTCTCCCCCCCTTCCTTCACCCCCCCCCTCCTCCTCCTTCCCTTCCTCCCCCAGCGCTCCCCCAGTCTGCAGCAGCGTGTGTGGTGGAGATGGGAATGAGTTCGCGCGGCGAGATCGCCCTCCTCTCCGCCATCGCCTCCCCCTCCATCCGCGTGCTTCTCAACGTTGGCCCCGCGCACATCGGCGACCCCTCGTTGGGGTCACTGGAGGCCATAGCAGAGGCCAAGGGGGAGCTGCTGGCTGATGCGAGGGCGGGTGATATATGTGTGGTGAATGGGGACGACAGTCTTGTCATGGGGTTGCCAATCAGGAAAGGAGTCAGAAGGGTGAGTTTCCACTCTCCCACCTCGAAGGGTGAGTCATCACACATCGCCGTCCTTCCCCACTCACATCGGCGACCCCTCACTGGGGTCTTTGGATGCGATAGCAGAGGCCAAGGGGGAGCTGCTGGCTGATGCAAGGCCAGGCGATACATGCGTGGTGAACGGGGACGACAGGCTTGTCATGGGGCTGCTGATCAGGAGAGAAGTCCGACGGGTGAGAGTTCCCCACTTCCCACTCCATACGCCACCCGCGCTCTCACTTCTCCTTGGGGTCTTTGCAAGCAATTGCAGAGGCCAAGGGGGAGGTGCTGGCGGATGCGAGGCCGGGTGATGTGTGCGTGGTGAACGGGCACGACAGGCTTGTCATGGAGCTGCTGATCAGGAGAGAAGTCCGACGGGTGAGTCTTTCCCCCCTCCCCCCCCTCTCCCCTGCCCCCCGCCCCCCGCTCACATCTGCGACCCCTCGTTGGCCTCTCTTGAGGCCATAGCAGAGGCAAAGGGGGAGGTGCTGGCGGATGCGAGGGAGGGAGATGTGTGCGTGGTGAGGTGAATGGTGACGACAGTCTTGGGTCTGCCAATAAAGAGAGGAGTCAGACGGGTGAGTCGTCCCCCCCTCCTGCTCCCGCACACATGGGCGATCCCACACTGCCGGCTCTTTGGAAGCAATAGCAGAGGCGAAGGGGGAGCTGCTGGCGGATGCGAGGGCAGGCGATACATCCGTGGTGAATGGCGGCGACAGTGTTGTCATGGGTCTGCCAATAAAGAGAGGAGTCAGTCAGACGGGTGAGCTCGTTCGTATGAATGTGGTTCCAATTGTGCTGCCTGGCAATGCCAAGTGAGAAGGTCGGAGAGGGCTGGCTGGGTGCATGTGTTTGAGAAAGGCCTCTCACATGCCCAGCAAACCAACCTGTAGGATTCCCCATCTGAAACCGAACCTCCTGGAGCTTGTGAGGAGTGGAGGATTGGTGAAATCCCTCACCAACCGATCTCTACAATTCACAAGCTGAAACCGAACCTTCTGAAGCCTACTCCTATCCTCCTCCCAACCTCTCACAACCGCGTGTCCTCACAGATCACATTTGGCCGGCTCCCTTCAAGCGACGTGCAGCTGCTGTGGGTGCGCGCAGTGGATGGCGGCATGGCTGTAGAAGCTTGCAGTCTCTGCAACCTGGGATTAGCAACAACCTGCCTCCCCACCCCTTCCACCCACCCACCCCACACACCCCCTCAGATCACATTTGGCCGCTCACCCGGCTGCGACGTGCAGCTGCTGTGGGCGCGCGCAGTGGATGGCGGCATGGCTGTGGAAGCCTCCATTCGCAACAACCTGGCACGCACAGGGGGAGCCGCAGCAGAAGCAGCAGCAGGAGGACGCGAATCGCAGTGTAGCAAAGAGGAGAGTACTGATCCAAGCAGCAGTGCGCTGAGTGCCGGAGCCAGGGCCGTGCGTTTGAATTCCGATGGAGACATTGAGGACACAAGGGGTGTGCATGGGGAGGGTAGTAACCTCGACAACAATGTGGTGCGAGTGCGAATCAACAGCCCCGGGCTGCATCTGGCCGACAACGCTCTTGCTGCAGCAGCCGTGGCGGTGGCGGCAGGCGTGCCGCTGCCAATGGCGGCGCGACACATGGCGCGATACGAGCCCATCGGGATGAGGATGCGGGTCGAACGGATACGGAGGGGGGGAGGGGAGGGAGAGTATGAAGAGAGGATCGAAGCGAAGGGAGAGGGACATGAGGGAAATGGTGTGACTGTACTGAATGATGCTTATAACGCCAATCCAATCAGTGTTGCTTCGGCTCTTCACCTTCTGCATCAGCTTTCGCTGGAATCAACTGCCTCCTCCGCCACCTGCTCTTCCTCCGCCACCGCCGCCTCCTCTCCACCAGTCTCAGGCCGCCACGTGGCAGTGCTGGGCGATATGCTGGAGCTGGGCAGCCAATCAGAGAGCGCACACGTGGACGCTCTCTCTCTCTGCCTCTCCCTTTCGGGAATCTCTCTCGTCCTGACAGCTGGCACTGCCTTCAAGTCCGCTCTGTGGAAAATGGTGGGGGAGAGGGCGAAGGGAGGTGCTGGGGAGGGAGTGAGGGTCGCTGGTGAGGATGATGGGGAGGAGAGCTACGTAAATGAAGGTGATGTGGAGATCGGGGAGGGGAAAGGTGGCTGTCTGCTCTGCTTTTTCGGAGAAGGTGCGGGGAGGCGCTTGGAGGTGCATGCGTTTGATTCAGCGCAAGACCTTGCAGACGCTGTTACGTTATCTGGCCGCGTTGCAGAGTCTATTGTTGAAGCACCTAAAGAAACGATGGACATGGGTTTGATACGGTTGGGAGATGTAGTGTTGGTGAAGGGGAGCCGAGGAATGCGTATGGAACTTGTGTGTGATGCAATTCGTTCAGCGTTTGGATTTAGGGATGGTTGAAGGCTTTTTTGGCCTAGCAAGTCACATCTTTAGTGGTCTAAAAGCTAAAACCAGCTTCAGGCGAGCAAATCTAGTTGATGCTATTAGATTTAGGGTTCGTATCAAGCAGAAGTGAGGTGTTGTCAAGTTCAAAGTTGGGTGTAGCAATGTATACTCGAGATGAGGTGTAGGGGCGCTCCCTCGAAGCTGGAATTACACTTCGATCAGCCAATCGAGGAGACTGAGATGTTGACTGCACACTGCCATGTGTCGTGCCTTTCGTTGCTAACCACACGTGAGAACGGTGACCGACGCATCGTGGCAGCCATCTGGCGCTCCACAGACGCACACCGTGGCGCGTTGCAGATACACGGATGAGGGCTCATTCAATTCCCTACTTCTGCACCTAATCGAGAACTTACCTAAACGCAAGTTTAGTTTTAGCGTCATTTACGAAAGTAGTCTTGTCCTTCCGTCTGGAACCCCGTGTTTGTCAATATAAAGTAGAACTGACTTGTGATCTCGCATTTTGAGTGAAAACTCTGAAGGGAACCCTCAAAGCTCAAAGCATAGATTTTCCCAACTGTCCCCCAGATCAGGAAGTGCTTATTTGCAGCATTAGCAGTCCCGCTCCTCTTTTCCTTTTGTGTAATTCTTCACTCGTTTCATTCCTCGCCCTGATCAGCCATTGCAGCTCCGTAGACTCTCCTGTACCCGCACACAGATCACTGGCCGGAAAATATCTGAGCTGCATTTAGCTCCGCTCAACCTCTCTTCATCCGTTAAATATCTCCGAAGCATGGCGCTCGCCGCATCCAATGGCGTGGCATTTGGACTGATGGCTCCAGAAGCGGGTAGAATCTCGACAACCGGTTTCTCTGAGGCCAAGTCAGGTATGGCGTCTGTGTATCCCTGTCTGCAGCAATTTAATGTTTTAATCCCAAACGAAGCCAATGGACGCATGTGTGAATGCACACAAGTAATAGAGACGTAATCTTCAGTATATCAGTCACTAGAGGTTGGAATAGACAGTGGATTGGTGCCTTGGATGAGGTTGTCAGAGGTGGGCTGGGATTCTGACAGAGGTAACTCGAGACTACTCAACCAGCGACACCTCAACCTGCGACACATCATGCAATCGCAGCTGTATACTTCCCTTCCGGCATTCCTTGAGCATCTCACGGATACAAAGGCCCAACTCGTAGTCACGATCATGGGATATCATAACACCATGCTCATGACATGATTCTTCTGTGCAAATCAAGACGCTACTTTTGCCTCACGCTCACACTTCTCCCCGCCCTCTTCCCCCGTCCGACCCCCAGTTGCCTTTCTCGCTCCTCAGCGCACATCTCTCTCTAGCAAGCCCCTCACCGCCTCTTCCCCGCGCCAACGCCTTCCGCAAAGGCCCGCGCGGCCAGTAGCCGCGGTCGCGGCGGAAACCGCCTCCGCGGAAGACGATTCTGCGGACGTCCCACCGCCGGGGTGCTCGCGGATCAAAATCGAGCTCGCGCGCCCGCTGGGGCTGGTTCTGGAGGAGCGCGCGGGGGGAATTTTCGTGGCGGAGGTTGCGCGCGGGGGGAACGCGGAGGCGACGGGGCTTGTGGACGCGGGCGACCAGCTGATTGCGACGAGTGCGATCGTGTTCGACGACAGCGACTCGTACGGCGGGGTTGTCGTGAAGAAGGGCATGCGGATCGTACGGTTCAACGTTCGCGGCGAGAAGTTTGATACGGTACGGACGGATCATGTTCCAGAGAGACAAGAGTGTGGCCTCGTGTTCTTGGCGCTGGGGAGAATTTCGTCGCTCTGGACGAGGTTTTGCGAGAGAAAGCAGGCTACAAGGCGACTGAAGTTACTCCGTTATAGTAACGGATTCGCCGTACTGAGCGCGTGCAATTAGAGTTATTTAGATTGGAAAACTGGGGACCTGAGCCTTGAAGGGCAAATGAGTCGGGGATGTGATAGGGAGAGGGAAGAGTTGAGTGAGTGAGGGACAATGGAGGATGAGAAACCGAGTGTGGGGATGGGAGTTGGGGATTCAGGACAGAAGAGAGTCTTTCGAGGTGCTAGTAGAGCAACCACCAGGAATACCGATCCATCCCCTTCACTTCCCCCCACCACTCCCCCTCCATCAACTTCGCTCACTCTCTCTCCCCTCGCACTACTACCCTCCCATTGACTCGGTGTGTGCAGGTCATGGCTGCGATCGGGACACACCCGTCGTATCTCAAGGTGAGACACTTACTGAGTGCACTCAGGAGCCGAGTCGTTGCAGACTTAGTCATGGCAACGTCCGAAATACATTGCTCAGGATTAGTCACAACTACCGTTGCAGCTTCTGTCACATTGTATTGATTGTAGGCGCAATCTCCTTCCTGTAACTCGCACACTCGAGCAATCCAACTTGTTGCAAGGTGCCAGTCCTTTCGACTTGCATCCGCCTTCTGTTGCACCGTACCAGTCATTGCAGTGCGTGCCTCTTCCCTGCTGCTTCCACAACGCCCACACACATTGCCCACTCACCTCACACTACCCACCACACCATTCGCTAGATCCTCCACCCAGCTGTATCCGAACAGATGGCTATTGCACTATTACTGTATTCGCATTCTCGGGTGCACTAACCACGCTATCTGTGTTGCTGCCCGTGTTTTCTTCCCCCATCTGCAGGTCGCCATAGAGCTGCAGAAGTGCAAGCCTCCCACCAGGAACCCCTCCACCTCATGCAAATGCGTTTATGTTTGAAACGTGCTAACGCGAATCCTCTCTCTCTCTTGTGGTTTTCTTCCCCATCTGCAGGTCGCCATAGAGCTGCAGAAGTGCAAGCCGCTCACCAGGGACCCCTCCACCTCGTAGACCGTTGTGTTACATTGACGCCTCTAGATTACGCGTTACAACAACAGACTTATCGCCCAGCTCTCCACCGCCTCCTGTTAGAAGCTCACAACCCCCCAGGCTAGGCGCGCTACTATTCCCTGATTGGTTTGCATGAAATGACGCCACATGTGCTGGCTGTGCCCCAGTTGAATATAAGACATTCCCCGCTGCATTGGCTTTTAGTGAGCAGTCTGGCATGAGCTCCTTCCTGTCTTGGCCTTCACACCCATGCCCTGATAGGTGCACCGACTGGCTCATAAGATGTTGAAGTCCCCACAAGTACTGACTTGGTAGCGCACTGGAAAGAGGGCATACATAAAACATGCACACCCCAGGCTAAGAGGGGTTTATTCATTGCTGGGATGCACTTGCTGCTGGCTGGTTAGGGACTGAGAGTATGCAGGAACGCTAAGGGCAGCAACGGAGTGTGCATTAGAAGTGAGTGCGGCTGTGGGCCATGAAGGTGAGGTGAGTGAGGCTGTTGCTTGCAGCAGTGGGAATAGCAATGTGTACACGCATGTGTGTGTGTGTGTGTGTGTGTGTGTGTGTGTGTGTGTGTGTGTGTGTGTGTGTGTGTGTGTGTGTGTGTGTGTGTGTTTTGTTAGAGCAATTGTTGCAAGGTAGCTCACATCTCCTCATCATAAATTAGTCTGTCTTTTCCCACAAGATGCAGCAAGAAGAGCAATTATCAAACTCCTAGGAAAAAATCTCAGCTCAAACTTCCCCTTACTACGCATTCCCCCCCAAGAGTTGCTACACTGGCATCAGACACTGCAGCACAGAAGATGCAGCACGCACATATGCTCCAGTTATGGACATCCAGGGAGGGCTTCCGAATCCTTTCAGGTGTTGGGCTGAGATAGCCCCTTAGGATCTTTTCAAGGGAGAACTCTGGGTGGGATAGTGTTGTAATAGCGGAAGCGTTTAACAAAGTTTGTGAACCACCTTGCGCTGGTATATGAGGGCAAAGTAGATTAATTATAGCAAGGAAGTACAAGATTATATAATAATACAAGGAATATGAAAGGATGCAGTTTGTAACTACTTTACTGTTGCTGTTGCGGTTCGATACAGTACGACTCGGGCAACTGATAAAAAACGAGTCAGTTGTGTGTCCTTAACTGTCGCGCTGTATTTGTCAGGTCAAAGGTCGCTTGACCTTTGACTTTCGCGTAACCTCCGGCAACTTCTCAACCTCCGAAGGTTGACTCGCGTTTGTTTCGATACAGCTTGCTTCGCTTCTGGTGCGATGTTTCGACACGACTGAAGCGCTTAAGATTCACTATTTCCAACACTCCCCTTCGCTTCTGGAGTGTCGTTGCTGATGACGTGGCTCTGTCCAGTCAGCAGCATGCAGTACTCGAATTTCTGCTTTCCGAGTTTCTTGGTCAAATAATCGGCTGCCATCTCGGACGTGGGACAGTATGACAGCTGAAGTCTCCCCTTCTCGATCTCGTCCTTCACGAAGAAGTAGCGCAGTGCGATGTGTTTCGTCCTGTTCGCGAAACCGTTCTTGTTGGCGATGCGAATTGCAGACTGGTTGTCGCAGAACAGGGTGAAGTTGGGTAACTCAGCTAACTTTGCTTCTTCCAGCAGCTCGCGGAGATAAAGGCCTTCCTTGGTGGCTGAGCAGAGTGCGATATATTCTGCCTCAGCTGATGATAGCGCGATTAACTCCTGCTTGCTCGACTGCCAGGAAATAGGTCCGATAGGTTCGAGGCGGTAGGCGTAGCCGGTACGTGAGCGCCTGTTGTCGGAGTCGCCGGCGTGATCGGCGTCGACATAGCCGATTAGCTTAGTTGGTGTAGCTGCGTTCTTGTGGTAGGTTAGGCCGATCGTCGCGGTGCTGATGAAGTAGTGAAGAGCGCGGTCAAGTTCCGCCAGATGTTCTGTTTCAGGCTTCTTGAGGTAGGTGGCGAGTTGACTTGCGGAGTATGAGAGGTCGGGACGGCATGTGACGGCTGCGAAGAGGAGGCATCCGAGCTTCCTCTGATAGTCGCGTATGCCGGCTGGTTTGAGTAGAGTGGATCGTCCCTTCTCGGTTCCTGTCGTGTAGCGGTATGGCGTGGAGATGGCGGCTGGTGTGAGAGCGAAGCGTTTAGCGATAGTGTCGGCGTATTTCTCGGCGCTGAGATAGATCGCATCTTCTTCTTCTCGGATGTTGAGGCCGAGGTACTGTGTGACGGTAGACGAGACCGTGAGTGTGAGGTCTTTCTGCAGCTCCCCTTCGAACCAGGTTGCGATGCTGTCGGTTGACCCGATGTAGAGGAGATCGTCCACGTAGACGATTAACAGGACGTAGTCGTTGTTCTTAGTGAGTCGATACATGCCTTGGTCGTGCGGGAGTTGCTTGAAGCCGATGCGGATGAGACGAGCGTGCAGGTATTGCTGCCATAGTCGCGGGGCCTGTTTGATTCCGTAAAGCGACTTGAGCAGCTGGCAGACATGCGTGGAATCTGTGTTGGAGCCGTGCGGCAGCTCCACAAAAATTTCTGCGTCAACAGGTGCGTAGAGAAAGGCGTTTGCGACGTCGATTTGTCGTAGCTTTTTCTTCTTCATGGCGGCGATTGCGAGGAGAATGCGTAGTGAGGTGTGTCGGCTGACCGGAGCAAAGGTTTCGGTGAAGTCGCGTCCGTGCTCTTGGTCGAAGCCGCGTACGACCCAGCGCGCCTTGAATTTGTCGATGGTGCCATCTGCTTTCGTCTTCACGCGGAAGACCCATTTTCCGGTGAGGATGGTCTTGTTTCGTGCTACACCGATAGGAACGATTTTCCAGGTGTTGCGTTCTTCTAGCGCTTTCAGCTCCTTGTCCATGGCTTCGCGCCATTTTTCCCTGTGTTCCCCCCCCAGAGCCTGCTGAACCGTTGCAGGCTCTTTAGGAATGGCGGCGCCGTGGACCGCGGTGACGAGCCCGAGTATCTGGAGTCCACTCTGTGTGTAGCGGGGGAGTGTGGTGTCCTCGGGATAGACTGCCTCGTCTCCAGCTTCTGGATCAGGTGCGAAGTTGGGCCCTATGCGTTCTGCTTCGTTGGTGTTGACTTCAGCAGGTGTTACGTAACCGTTGTCGGCGAAGTGGTAGTAGGTTTCGGCGTTGACGCTTTCGCGAGGGTTATCTTCGTCCATCGGTACGTCCACTGAGCAGTAGGGGAGAGGTCCGGCTTCTTCCGAGGCTCCTTCCACGTTCTGCTCGTCCCAGTCAGCTTCGTCTCCTGCCGAAGCGAAGGCTCGATCGCCACGGAAGCCACCTGTGGGGTCTCGATTTTCGTCCAGGTTGGCAAGGTATGTTGGCAGTGTGAGCCGCTCGTAGAAAATGACATCACGTGCTGCTACTGTTTCCTTGGTGTGGATGTCGAAGATTTTCCACGCGTTGTAATGTTTTTCGATGCCCAGGTGTAGTCCCCACTGTGCCCGTTGGGAGAATCGGCCGGCTCGTGCAGATGGGGGTCGGTACTGTACCATGCAGCCGAAGACTCGTAACATTTTTGTGCTGCCCAGTTTCCCTGTCCACAGCAGATGCGGTGATGTGTTGTTCGGGAGTGACGACGAAGAAAGCAAGTTGTGCAGCATCACGGCGTGGTCCATTGCCTCGGGCCACTGGTGGTTGGGTAGCCGCATGCCACGTAACAGTTTGCGCATGGTGTTCTGCAGAGTCCTGTTCATCCTTTCTGCTACACCCTGCTGTTGATGGGCGTAGGGAAGGGAGATGAGTCTCTTGATTCCTTTCTCCGCCAGATACTGCTTGAACCGCTGTGACGAGTATTCTCCTCCTCCGTCTGATTGGAAATTTTTGAGCTTAGCTCCCGATTCCCGTTCTGCTGCTGGAAGCCATGCCACGAAAGCCTCGAAAGCCATGTCGCGACTTGGTAAGTTTAGGTGCCAGACGTAACGTGTAGCGGCGTCGATGAAGGTGATGGTGTAGTTATACGCGTTTTGTCCGGGTTCGCGGTTGTACAAGATGTCGCTGTACACTTTCTCGAGTGGTGCATATGCAGGTGCGCTTGGGTTGTGATGCGAAACGAAGGGCTGATGCGGTAAGTCAGCTTCGGGGCAGGTGAAGCACGTTCCTCGAGCTCGCTGAAGTTCTCTGCCGTCGGTCAGTAAGAGTGAATCCTTGTCAAGTACTCCAGCTCTTATCGTGTTGTTTAATACTGTGTTGCTTGGGTGTCCCATTCTTGCGTGCCAGGTTTCTTCGTTGGCGCGGTGTCCTGGCGAGCGTCGGTACATGTCGGAGTTGGAGTAGAAGCCGGCGATGATGTTCGCGCTTCTGTGAACTTCCCGTGGTGCCGGGTTGAGCTGCTGTGCCGGTGTCGGCGGCGTCTCGTTGATGAAGGGCTGTGCCGTTGAGGGACCAGTGACTGGTGTTAATGTTTCTGCTGCTGCTGCTGTTGTCGGTGCTGCTGTCGATGTTGTTTCTCCTGCTCCTGATGTTGTCTGTGCTGCTGCCGATGTTGTCTCTGCTGCTGCCGATGTTGTCTCTGCTGCTGCCGATGTTGTCTCTGCTGTTGCCGACTGCTGAATTGTCGCTAACGCCCTTGTTCTCTCTGTTTCAGAAATGGTGTGCGAGTACCAGAAACCGCTCGGACTGAAGACTTGATCAAGATCTGGAGGATGTGTCCAGTTGGTGAAGTTTACGATGGCGTCGCTGTCGGCCGTGCCAAGATCGGGAACGAAGTCGAGAACGAAGACGTTGTTCTTGAGGACCGCCTTCCCGATGTAGAGACCTCCTCTCCCGTGGTACAGCTTGAACTCTTGAGTTGTGCTGTCTGCTTCAAGATGAATGCCTTTCGCCATCAACTGACTGACGCTCAGTAAGTTGTAGCCCAAGCCCTCTGCGATTAGGACCTTGGACATCTGCAGAATAACATTTGTCTCTCGTGACTGAAGTTGAACAACTCCTTGTCGTCGTGTGCGCAGGTTCTGATTGTTGGCGACGGTGATGACAACTTCCCGTTGAAGCTGGTACTCTCGCTGCACGAAGCGTCCTGAAGAACACATGTGTTGCCCGCAGCAACTGTCCAAGAACCACGTGTCCTTTCCGGATGGCTCGTTTTGGGCGATGGCTGCGTAGGTTGGATTCGGTTGAAGTGCTTCGCGGCGAGGTGTCGTTTCATCGAGCTGTTCTTCTGGTGAGTAGTATGGTGGTGATTCCGTGACGCAAGAGTCACTCAGTCTTGCCATGCAGCTAACGATATTTCTTGTTTCTTGTGCAGGTTGTCCCGTTGAGGTCGTTGAAGCTTGAATTTGAGTCGTCGGGTTCGCCTGTGTTGACGCAACTTGATTGCTTGAAGGCCGTAGATGCCGCTGCGGAGTTGTTGACTGTTGACGGTTTGGGCAATGTGTGCGCGGGTGCCCTGAAGTCTTGCAGATGTGGCAGAAAGGAGGTACTGGCTTCGGTTGTTGCTGTCGATTGTTGTAGTTGTTGTGACGTCGTTGAGTGTGAAACGCGAACTCTGATGTTGTCGTCTTCTTTCTGTGTCGTTCTTCTTGCAGGTCCATGTCCTGCTGCTCGGCGTGGATTTCGGCGCAGAGTGCTGCTTCAGAAATTCTGCCGTGGGCTCGGAGGATAGCTTTGGTGGCGCGCCATTGGGGACCGAGACCACCAATGATGACTGTCACGAAGGCGTCCTCGGAGATCGATCCTCCGCATCGAAGAAGCTTGTCGCGCAGTTCGCGACATCGGCTGATATACGTCATCCCCTTTTCTCCTGGTTTCATTTCAACTGTTGTCAACTGCGCCATTAACTTGCTTTGGTTTACGCTGTCTGTTGCTTGATACAGGCTCTTCAGGTGGCTGTACGCGAGCTCAGCGGAGTTGCCGTAACCCCGGTAAGAGCGTATGTTCTGCTGCTGAGTTGGTGTGACGTTCCTCAGCAGAATCGTATACGCCATCATCGATTGATACGTATACTGCTGCTTCTCATACTGTGTGCCGTTTGCTGGATATTGCAGGGACCCGTCGAAGAAGCCGAGTATCTGCGCGCCTTCCATCATTAACTCAAACTCGAATGACCAAGTGAAGAAGTCCTTTCCGTCGAAAGGTCTTGATGTCTGCAAATTTAGAACGTGCGCGAACTGTGATTGCACTTGTAACGCGTCCAGTGGCTTGTCTTGTGCAGGTGAAGATTGCGGCATGAAGCTGATCGACCCGCGCTCGTACGGGGCGAAGGTAGGTTGCTGCTGTTGGTTTCCGCGTGCATATGACGACCCGTCGAGGCTCATGGGTGTCGCTCCGTTGTTGTTGCTGTTGTGTGATTGTGCAGGTCCCGACTGCTGGTGCTGCTCGTAGAAGGACATGAAGGAGAAGAACTTCTCCATTATACTCGGGTCGAAGTTCGCGGGGTGATTTGCGGGAGTCTCAGTAGATGTCATTCTTGGTCTTGTTGCCGTGCCTTCCTCTGTCTGCAGGCCAGAGGCAGGAGGTGGAGTAGGAGTAGTGCCTGGGGAGCCGTTAGATGAGCTCCTTTCCTTGCTTGTTGCCATGTCTTGTAATGATTTGAAGGTAGTAGAGTTTCCCCTGTTTGCTCTCATACCATGTTGGGCTGAGATAGCCCCTTAGGATCTTTTCAAGGGAGAACTCTGGGTGGGATAGTGTTGTAATAGCGGAAGCGTTTAACAAAGTTTGTGAACCACCTTGCGCTGGTATATGAGGGCAAAGTAGATTAATTATAGCAAGGAAGTACAAGATTATATAATAATACAAGGAATATGAAAGGATGCAGTTTGTAACTACTTTACTGTTGCTGTTGCGGTTCGATACAGTACGACTCGGGCAACTGCTCTGTAACGAGTCAGTTGTGTGTCCTTAACTGTCGCGCTGTATTTGTCAGGTCAAAGGTCGCTTGACCTTTGACTTTCGCGTAACCTCCGGCAACTTCTCAACCTCCGAAGGTTGACTCGCGTTTGTTTCGATACAGCTTGCTTCGCTTCTGGTGCGATGTTTCGACACGACTGAAGCGCTTAAGATTCACTATTTCCAACATCAGGAAGGAAGTTGTCTTGAGTCAAGGTTTCTGCAGAGCGTCAACACCGTGCACAACGAAGTACTTTCCTACATAGATCCCGGGGTTCAGAATCTGCGACCACGACAAAACATTCTTGGACTGCCCGAGCGCAATCTCTGATCCCTTCTTCATAAACATGGGCACCTTGTACTTCCTCAACTCACACCCCAGCTTGGTAGGAAATCGCTTGTTGCGGATGAGACCACCATAAGTGAAGATCCCGTTGAGGACATTCATCTTGCCGATTTTCTCGAGCTTCTTCGACCCCCCGCCGGTGAGCGAGCCAAGGCCCCCCATGCCGAGTGCCAAGTTGGACGGGACGAGAATGGTCGTTTGGAAGAGAAGGCCCCACCTTGGATCGGTCTCATCCATGGTCTCTGAATTTGGGAAGCATAATAAAAAATGGGAAACGATAACCGCTGATTAGGAACAAAAAAACTTAAAAATATCCATGTAAGCTGTTAAATGCAAACCGACACTTACCCAATGAGGGAATGGCTTTCTCAAGTGCGGCGGCGATAGCGGCGTATCTCCCCAGGTACCCGATATTAGACAGGGCGACCTTGAGTTTCTTGACCTCGCTGATCACCTCGGCCTTGTTCAGTCCGTCTCCCGCAGCTGACGCAGCGAGAAGAGCGAGGAGGAGGACGACGAAAAGTGGGCGCTGCGTCATCTTGGTGCTTTAGAGGAGATCTAACCCTGCCGGGGTGAATGGGGGGACGTTGTTGGGTCAGAAGCGTGCTGGCTATATTGGAATTAACAGTTAAGCAGTTGCTTTGGTTCGCCCTGGAACTGATGGTGAAGATGGTTCTCACATGCATCTTTATAGCTGTTTTATGGAAGTAGTTAAAGTCGAGGAGGATATCGAGGTTGTATTCGCCCAGGCTCCCAAGGCCACGTGTTACATTTGGGATGAAAACCTGTTTTTGACATCCTTCTGGATAACCTCTGGCCTGGTAAAATTACCAACTGAAACTCCTCTACAAAATGTGAAACGCCACACCCCATGCCCAAATCGGGGTTTTCCCCATCTTTGCGCACTGACCCATGCACGAGCAATGACTAGGGTTACGTGAAACAGTGTTTAGGAGGGTAAGCAGTGCTGAAGCTTTGCTGTGAAACTGATGAACAATGTCTCCCCTTCCTCATTGTCTCTGCAGCCACAATCGGTTCGCATCGAAACCGCAACGCACGTGCCAATTTGGTTGGACCCAAAGATTCTACTTCGGTTCTGTTGGGTATACAGTGGTATCGAGCTTCCATGAATCTGAGTTCTGAATTCGCATTGTCAGAAATTTGGTGGCGTTGTAACAGAGCAGACCATAGCGAGATTTGGTTCAGATAAGGTGTTGCTGCTGACGCATCAGAAAACGGCGTCACTTCTGCAAGGTGTGGTGTCACAATAAGATGTGACAGCGCGGATTGGTTTACTCCAGTGTGACGAGTAGAAACACAAAAGGCATAGGGTTTCCACCTCGCCAGTTTCGTCATGTTCCCTCTGAACCCACAGTAGCGAATTCTTCACGATTCGAACGAAGTCTTCACGATGTCATCATAATTTCGCCAATGTGTTGTGCTGGCTTCTGGTGTGCGAGATGCTCCTCCCCCCCTTTCAAACTTCATCCACAGCCCAGAACACGTTCATTTTCACGTGTTGCTGTTTCCATCACGTTTCTTTCACTCGCTCAGCTTCCGCCGTGCTCTGGCTGCTCCTATCTATCCACTCCAAATATGTGTGTCTATTTTTGTTTCTGGACCCTCCCTTTTGCAGGCTATGAACAGCCTGATGTGGCGGACGGTTTCTTCTGTGAAGTTTTGACCAGCTGCATGGAGCTCGTGATTAAGCTACCTTCCCACGCCCCAATAAGGAAGGTGAGTCGCTCCTTATTTTCCCCCCTCCTTTTTTCTGCCGCTCGTGACTGGCAAAATAAGGATCACTCATGTGAGTTTCGGTTTCAGCTCAATACGCTTTGTGTACTGCGACCTTGTGAGCACATTGTTTTTGCAGAATACCAGGGCGCATGACAACTCTCCAAATCAGCGACTAGAGATTATCGGCAAGCCTCTAAAGATACTGCCAAGTTTATATTTTTCTTCATAAATTTTATCGCCATGTTAGCGCTGTGATTATCGCGGTTCCTGGACGGGTTTCTTAGGATGCTGTTCCGAGCATGTCAGTGACATCCAGGATGGGTAGGCTCGTGTGGTGTTTTTACGTCGTCTGTGTTTATCGTACGTGTGCTGGCGCTTTGCTCTAACTCTGCTGTGTTCTGCAGTACCTCCGAAATAAGCTATTAGTTACTGCATGTTTGGTACCTGCTTTGTGGATTATCATGTACTTGGGTATTTAAATAGGATTGTAAGTTAAGTGTTGGTGAGGTAGGCAGGTGACAGTTTGGATCATGGCTATCATTTTGTAAAGTTGCAAATGTAAGTTCGGGATTACTAATTTCTGGCGCAGAATTCGTGTGTTTCACGATTTTGCATTTGTCTGAAATGGCTGATATTTTTATATTATTTTTGTGATTTGTGCCCATTACATTGTTTTCAATTATAATGGGATGCGTGTACTGTGATAATTGATCCATTAAAGAGAACCCTTACATGAATTTCCAGCTGCTTTAGTGAGGATGAGCAATGTTGGGTGTATGCTGGTGCACTCCTTGCCGAGCCTACTCAAGATTGCTCGAACAAACATTGCAATGATTCCTCGAGCAAACCTCTACTGTTGAGCATTCCACATGATAAACCACGAGCATTGATGGCAGGGGAAAACATCAAGCAGTCCCCGTGAAATCTTTTTGCATTCTTTTTCCTTCTTGAATTTTGTAGAGTCTTTTTGTTGAACACTCCTTTCGGAGTCGAGCTGGACATTAGGTCAACGGTGAGACAAGGCGGAAAGGGGGTGCTGCGGCCGCATTGACATTAGGAAACGACATTAAAGATAGGACTCATACACGTAACCTGAATGGCCCACTCTCCCAACTACCACAGCTGTCAAGGAATGCCCCTTCGACCTCACACCTCCTGTATTGAGAATGTGATGTGGTGTGGTGGAGGGCGTGTGTACGGGGGCAGGGCGGGGATTATGGTGGCGATTCGCGATTCGTTGCACCCCTTCGAGGTGGCGCCCCCCACCGACAACCCACCATTTGAACCTGGCGGTTGCCTGCCCGGCCACAGAGACACATCCAGCTTCGAAATGTTCAACAACCAGCCCCGATCTCAGTTCTCGTCACCCTTGTTCCGACTCTAGGGTTGTTGCACACATATTTCGGGTTACAAAGCATGTACAACATCTTTTGGGCCGGAAATATACAAGCGAAACCCAGGGGAGGGTTAGAGTTCTGGTACAGACGGAAAAGGTCTTGACCTTGCGACGAGCCAGCGAGTACTCCAGAGGTGTAATTTCCTGCCCAGGGTTATTACTACATAAATATACCGTGGGGATGCTAACACAGGATGTCGTTGACTGATGTCAGCGGCCTGCAATTGACTCGGTTGGAAGTCGACACAAGCACACCACCCCGACACGCGATTCGCACCGTACAATGCGGCGGCATCCCCTCACCGTGGGAATTTAGCACGCAAAAGATAATTAACACACAAGTTCTCAATATAACTATAGAACTGTAGCAAGAATAATGCCAGCAGTAATAAGACAAAGAAGTCAATATAAAAATCGTCAACAATAAAACACAAAGTCATATTTAACCATGCTTCTTTGACCTGAGCCGAGGCTTTTGGCTGACGAATTCGCAAAACGGGTGGAAATTTGTTGCGATCAGAAATGAGACCGAGCATATAAATCAACTTATGAAGGTTCGCAGAATCAGAGTGTTAAAGCGGAAGAAATTGACCTTGTATGGTGGAATGCAAACCGCGGTAGCATCATTGCTGTGAACTGAACATGTGTTTCACCTGAAACAACGGACAATTTCCTCGGGAAACACGTTCGTCCACCACCCCTCTCTCCCAGTTTCCGTAAAACCTGGCATATAGTCGAATACTCTTCAGGGCACGCCCCGTCAAACATCCTGAAGAGTTAGAGCAAAACACTAAGACCATCCTGAAAATGCAGGGTGCATACGGAATAGGAATCCTGATTTCACAGGGCACATAACACCCAAATTCTGAAAATTCAGGGCACAACCTTTTACTTTACCTTGAAAATCAGGGTATCAGGATCTTTTACCTTGATAACGTAGGGCCTGTTCGTAACTGTTCGTGTCGCTTCGACCCTTCGCCTTCGTTCTCGCTACTCGCATGAATGCAAAGCAACACTTCTCATTTTACTATTCGTAACAACCCCCTTTATTCCTCTGCGTAGCAAGTCTTGACTTGTTTGACTACTCGCCGAGTTCGGAGCAGTGCTGGTACTGCTGACGTGGCAGTCGCTTCGTGAGGAAGTCCGCTGCCATGTCACCCGTTGGGAAGTAGGTCAGATCGACCTTGCATTTGGCCACTTCGTTCTTGACGAAGAATTACCGCAGCGCAATGTGTTGGTGCGGTTGACGAATCCTGGCTTGTTTGCGATTGGAATTGCACTTTCGTTGTCGCAGTGCAGGCGAAAGGTTTGCGAAGTTAGGATTTTTGCTTCTTGCGGAAATTCCTGTTAGGTTCCCTTCGCGAACTGCTGCTTCGGCGACGATGAATTCAGCTTCCGCCAATGACAGGGCAACCAGTTCTTGCTTCTGCGAGTTCCACGAGATCAGTCCTGTTGGCTCGAGGCGGAACAGGAACCCAGATCTGGACCGTCGATTGTCGAGGTCAGCGGCATGGTCGGCGTCCACACAGCCGATGAGACTGGAGGACAGGGTTGTCACTTTTGAGTAACAAAGCCCAATGTTGGGTGTGGAGATGAAAAACTGCAGGGCGCGCTGAAGATCTAGAAGATTCTCTGCCGTCGGTTTGCGGAGTACTGAGCCCACTAGCTTGTGACATAGGAGAGGTCTGGCCTCGGTGACAGCCCAACTTCTATTGGTAAGTCTGAATCCCAGCAGGGGACAGGGCTTTGTTGTCGGGTTTGTGGTTCGGTCCGGGAGTGCGGTAAGGGGTCGAAAGCAGTGTAGGCGTGATGTTGAAATGTTTGCCTACGTACTTAGCTGCTGAGAGGTGAATGGCTTCTGGCGCGTAGGAATTATTAAGGCTGAGAAACTGCTTCACGTTATGGTTGCAGGGGATGTCGACGCGCGTCGCCGAGTTCCTTTCGAACTGGTCGAGCAGCTCGTTGCTGAATCCGGTATAGAGTAATTCCTCGACGTAGACCGTGAGCAGAATGTAGTCGTCGCACAAAACTCGGCGGTACATTCCGAGATCGTGAGGTAGTTGCTTGAAGCCTATCTCGAGCAGGATGTTGTGCAGATGCTGCTGCCAGGTCCTAGGCGCCTAATTGATCCCTTAGAGGGATTTTTGCAGCTGGCACACACGTGAATCGCCTTTCACCGTATGTTTAAGGTTGCTCCATTTAAATTACAGCATGTACCAACGCATAGGGAATACGTTCTTCACGTCGATTTGTTGGAGCGGTAAGTGTCTTGCGGCGGCGATGGCGAGTACCCTGACGGAAGTGTGACGGCTGACCGCGCAAACGTCTGGTCGAAGTCAATGCAATGCTTTTGGTCGTAGGCGCGTACGACCCATCGCGCTTTGAAACGCTCAATTGTGCCATCT